TCTATGGGTCACAGCAACCACTTACCATCAGGTGGACTGTATGCTCGTTTGTCACCCTTTCCTATAAAAAAATTATATAAATACTGTAAGCCTTTTTCAATCAGGAAAGGATTAATTAATAAGGAATTGATTGATGTGAACCTGATACATGTAAAATAGGGACGATTTAATGTTCTTAACCTTTTCTTAAGCCCTGTCTACGTGAACGGGGTTTTTCAGCTTATAAGGCACTACCAACAGCTTTCAACTGCTCTAGTGAATATTCATTCTTCTAAGAGACACCTAAAATAACTTAGTTACTATACAAACACAACGTAAATAAGTGTCATTACTATGACGATCACGCCATAAATATTAATCGGCCTATATTTAAACCTTTAGAGTGATCAATATATAGTTAATACACTGGTCACGTAAATTTGATATGTATATATATATCTTATTCTTTAAAGAAATAAAGAATGAGAAAGAGAAGAGGAGGGGGAGAATGTTACAACATGTATTTAATATAAAAAGTAATCATGCCGGTATTTTGAAAGAAGCGCTCTTGCGTTTTACTTTAGGGAATCATTTAGAAACGTAATAATGCCTTTAAAACATAATGGTGAATATTTCATATTCCACAGAATCTTAGTGTACTTAATTTTTTAGTGGGATAATTACAAAAAAAATCATTCATACTACTGCTTTGTCATCTAAAGTCTACCTTAGTCCATTAAATTGTAAGTTATTTTATAAAATATTATGAAATAAAATACAGATATCTTATATTATACAATATATAAAAAAGAATACTTCAGTTCTGTGATGCGTAGCCTGATGCGGTTACGCATCGGCAGAACTAAGACTTTTACCTTCGCCTTACATTAAGGCACGCCCGTTAATTCAAAGGAGTTGAAGAGCTTACCCAATCGAAGGTTATACAAGCAGTATTATATACCGTCAACCGTGCTCGTCGCCAATAATAGTATAACCATATCTAGCGATGAGTATAATATTTGATTCGTCGACTACCAATTTTAGTATATACTTATGTATTTTATTACCTAATTTTTTTTCGTTGACAGCACTGACCTCTCATAGAATCAATATTTACTGTAAATATTATTCATTAATATTCAGAATAAGAGGGCAATATTCTTCTGTCGTCACCACACACCAAATACATCTGAAAATCGAGTTTTGCCATCTACGTCTGTTTCTAGCCGATCCTCTCCTATTTGTGACAGCTTACTTATATAATATGTTCCTGATACTTACGAAAAACGTTATTATGTCGCCCAGGCATATCGCATGTCACATGTAGTTTTCCCACCATGGAAACAGTAGGCACACATGCGTTAATTTCATACGCCGGTAGGTCTTTTTTAATAACTGACAGTGTCTGTCTATAGTCGTCACGAGCATAACGATAACTCTTTTGTGACATGGTGCACTCATCCCATACTATCAATTTGCATTGCTGCAAGATAGCACTGCTGCTACTTTTGCTGATGTTGCACGTTAACGTTTCTTCACTTGTAATATTAAGTGGCAATTTGAACACCGAACACATGTCCACCACTAAATAACATTACTGCGAAGACCGAGGTAGCTAGTAGCGAGCTAAAGATATATTGCGGCTTTGGGAAGTGCTTCAACATGAAGTTCAGCACGAATGTTTTGCTCCTAACCCCTGGTGCATCAAGAGGGAATAAGTAAATATATATACACTATTGATCCGCTGCATAAGCAAACGTGGCGCCATTTCATTCACGTGTATTTTAAATCCTCGGAGTTGTTATAGCTAAGCAATCTCACAACATCGCTTGAAAATTCTTCCCTTCGCTGCGGTATGGGTAAACCGAAATCATCCAATTTCATGCCAGATATTTATATCATTTTACCGTCAATTAAATTCAACACTTCATTGATGACTAAGTCGTTATGCGTTTTTTGTACCTTATTCGCGATATTTTACTTAAAAACCATTAGAAAGGAAGAAGGAAATATTAATTGGATGCCCGTAATTTTGACAAACGCTAATTCTTTAGTGTTAATATTATAGCACACATAATAATACCATACTGCCAAAAACAGTTATTGAGTTTGTGTCAGTTTGATTTACGAATTTGAATAGTGACTTTACAAAATTTCGTGAATGTATGTAAATCCTTTTATAATATAAACCAATGTTTTTCTTAACATATCTTTAAAATTAAGCAAAATAAAAACCCTGTGAACCGAAGTGAGTGAGTGAAACCGAGAGTGATCGAAAGGTTGCGTCACTCTAGCGTCATAGCGATGGCGAGGTATAATTGAGGGTATATTGAGAAACCCCCACTTATTTGTGTAGTATAAAGTACACTGTAGACGCCATGCGCGAGATATTTATATTTCGCTTAAGGCGCAGGTTGAGCAAAATGTCGCGCTAGTCGTTATTTGTGTGGTTTTTAGGAGCTATCTACTTTTTATTTAAAACATATATCAATAAATAAAAAACACATTATATTTCTACATAATCTTGATTCCATAAAAGCTATATCCAATTTTTATTTAAACGAATAAATATTAATATAATCTCCTTACAACGAAACCACATAAATGTGAAATTATTATTGATAACATGCATCTCCTCGTAAAGTAAGTATTATTTTATTTTGCGATTTACACCAATGGATAGGCAATTTATTAATAAACATTTCTATAGTAAATTTTTTTTCAAAAGACCAAAATTTGATTTTATTAAGAAATTATTTTAAAATCTGGGCATATTCACTGCTCACGGGCTTGCTGAAGTCAGTGAGCCCTGAGCTCTTCGACGCGAAACCCGTGTCGTTAGAGCGTCGATCAGCACATACACTCACGTCATATCAGTCGAGAATTTCATCACATTGAAAATTGTGAGTTTAAAAGATACCTATTCACTATAGGTAAATAAATAGATAGCTCGCCTTTTATACAAATATTTGGTGCAATAAAGAATAAATAAATAAATAGGATGTTTCGTAGATGTGTTTTTGATTATTGTTAATTTTACGTGTCACGTATTGAAAAGTAATATACCTACTTACTAATACAAAAATCAACAAGAAGTATAAGAGTTCAATCTTTCAATTTCAATTGTAAAAAAACGTTACCCCCACACTAGGATTATCTCCTGTGTCGTGGAGGCAGTTTACAAACATAAATTGCACAAGGACAAACATCCAGACCCCGGAACAATTATTTGTAAGCCATACAAATACTTGTTCCGTGCGGGATTCGAACCCGCGGCCCCCAGCGCCACAACTAATTGCTAAGCCACTGCCCCACGGAGCCGTCGCCGGGTTATAGCTAAAGTGACCATACGTCCCGTTTTGAACGGGACTGTCCCTTTTCTCGGTCACCTGTCCCATTGTCCCCAAACAAACCTCCGGGACACAAAATTGTCCCGTAACTCGTTGGATGGAAGTATTCAAAGTATAAAAATTACTTATTAGGTTATTTATAGGTAGTATTATTTGTTTGTTTTGGGTATAATTTTTCGTATTAGTTATACATATTATATTTGTTGTGTTTTTTACTGCGCGATGAAGCTTTTTGCGTGTATTTTCTTTGAAGTAAATGCAAATAAAAAAATGAAGCACCATTAGCATGTAAGCTTCGAATCCATAATTAAAATTTCGACAAATATTATAATTTACATTATAAAATGCTAATTCAATATTATCACCCAACTACAATATTTTATTAAGTATGATACTGCCTCGTTGGTCTAGTGGTTGTAGTAGTGCGACTGTTGATCATGAGGTCCCGGGTTCGAATCCTGGGTCGGGCCCAAAAGTCAGTTATGAGTTTTTCATTTATGTTCTAAGTTAAAATTAGTATTACTAAGTTATAGTTTTTTGCTAAAATATAGTATATTATTTATTGCTTGTTTTTTCTTCTTTTTCAAAAAATAATTGAGTACATAAGGTGTTCTATACTTATAATTCGGTAAAAAGTATCTAAGTAGGTACTAATATATAACCTGTCGGAAATATCTGCGAACCTCGCTGGAATGCGCTTCCCCTCGCGCTTCCCCGCACCTCCGCCCGTTATCGTCTATCCAGTACCGTTGCCAACGCAAGCGCCGACGCACGTGTATTAATCTCGCTTTCGTAATCGCATTATTGTTTATTGTTTCTCTGTTTGGTGAAATATTACTATTATTACAATAGACTACTTACAAGATGGGTAAGACTATACATAGTGCCGAGCGGAATTTAGGGCTCAAAGTAATTAAATTTTTTGATAATGAAAAACAACGAGGCTGTTTCAGTATCCCGGTTGAACAAGCAACAAAAAGGGCATGTGCAGCAACTGGTTTATCTAAATCGACCATAATGAAAATAAAAAGTGAAGCGAGTGAAGTGAATGTTCAGGAAGAGATGACGTCCTTCGAAGAAGACCCACAACCTAGTACGTCAGCTTCAGTTACCACGGATACTATTATGCTCTCGACACCAGGGAAGAAGCGTAAAAAATACAAAAAGAAAATTGATCTAGATAGTTTTGATTTATGCGCCATACGCTCTTTAGTTGAAAGTTTTTATACCATCAGAAAAGAAATACCTACATTAAAAAAGATTTTGAGAATAGCCAAGCAGGAGCTGAACTTTCCCGGCCAAAAAGACGCCTTAAGAAATATACTAATAAATTCTTTGGGGTACAGGTTTAAGAAATGTAAACGTAAACGCGATTTTTTGGTGCAAAGACCTGAAATAGCAGCCTGGAGAGCATAATATTTAAGGCGATTGAAAGAAAATGACAAACGTGGTGCCGAAAAAAAACTAGTGACCTCCATCGACGAAACCTGGATACATTCACATTACACTGTCTCGAAATGTTGGCAAAATAGTAGTGATTCCAGTATTCGAACTAATCACTCTCCTGGTCAGCGCTGGATTGTGGTACACGCAGGCAATGAGAATGGTTTCGTACAAGGTGCCGAGCTCCTTTATAAATGTAAGTTAACAACCGGTGATTACCATGACGAAATGGATGCATCAAATTTTACAAAATGGATCGAAGAGAAATTGATACCGAATCTTCCACCCAACGGTATCATTGTCATGGACAACGCACCGTACCACAGCAAGCAGGTGAATAAGCCGCCAAATTTCAGTGCACGTAAAAACGTAATGCAAATGTGGCTGCAAGAACACAACATCGAATTTGACGAGAAAATGACAAAAAGAGAACTGTATATGTTAATTAAAAGACATAAGCCCGAGAAGGTATATTTCATCGATGAAATATTTAGATCTCATGGACAAGAGGTATTACGTCTGCCACCCTACCATTGTGACCTTAACCCAATTGAGTATGTTTGGAATTTGATGAAGCAAACGGTGGCAGACAAAAATGTAGACCAATCAGAAAAAGATATAGAAAGACTAACAAAGGAAGCGATACAGAGTATAACCCCAGAAGATTGGAAAAGAGAATGCAACCATGTCGATCGCTTAAGAGACAAGTTTTGGCATGCTGATAGATTGTATGAACTTGAGGAACAGGAATTAGTAATTTCATTAGGTGGAGAAGATAGTGACAACGAAAGTGATGACAACATTTTCAGCGACAATGAAGAATTTGACAACAACGACAGCGAAACAATGTCTGGTGTTGAGGCTTTTTAAAAAATTAATAGACCACTTTTGAAAATGACAGTACTTAATTGTTTTAAATTAGAATTTTAATGTTAAATACCTGCTAATTGAATGGCTCGAAAATTATTTGATTTTAATTTATTATACTTACCCTAGAATAGAAACTAATAAAAAAAGCATTTCTAAGAACAAACTTTTATACTTAATATGGTTTCTTGCATTTACTTTTTCCGGTATAAAAGCGTTACATTGATATATACAAATAGTTTTATTTTTAATAGGAATGTATTTTTTATTTTAAATTTATTTTAAGGCGTTGTATAGAAGTATAAAAATAAATAGGCGCACAAAAAATATATTTCATTTTTGCATCTCGATTTTTTTTTGCTATCTCTCCATATTGCATGACGTCATCAAGCCAGGTTCGCAGATATTTCCGACAGGTTATACCTACTTTTTACTATTAACTAAAAATGTTTAAAACTAAATTTAACTAAAAAGACTAAACTGACCATTTATTTTTTAACTCAAAACAGGACATGGGTTTATTTATACTCTAAAAACTATAAATTTATACAATTAGTGTTCACTGTAAAATTATATTCGGTATAGACGGTAATTATTAAATGCAACATATTTTTATTAATTATTAATTACATTTGTCAGTGGATTAAATTGTTTTTAATAAAGTTGGTGATGATTTTAAATAAAAATAAAATTCTGCTCAAGTTTTTTTATTGTTATCTTTGTTAACAACATCGCCTTTAGAACTCTGGAACCGTAAGTGTTTCTTTCAGACGTCCACAATTTATCCAAAATAAAAAAAATACTCTTTCTACCGGAGCATTCGTACTAGGTAGACAAAATATATTCGATTAAAAAAAATTATGTTGAAGATTGTTGACTTTGAATACTTCCATCCAACGAGTTACGGGACAATTTTGTGTCCCGGAGGTTTGTTTGGGGACAATGGGACAGGTGACCGAGAAAAGGGACAGTCCCGTTCAAAACGGGACGTATGGTCACTTTAGCTATAACCCGGCGACGGCTCCGTGGGGCAGTGGCTTAGCAATTAGTTGTGGCGCTGGGGGCCGCGGGTTCGAATCCCGCACGGAACAAGTATTTGTATGGCTTACAAATAATTGTTCCGGGTCTGGATGTTTGTCCTTGTGCAATTTATGTTTGTAAACTGCCTCCACGACACAGGAGATAATCCTAGTGTGGGGGTAACGTTTTTTTACAATTGAAATTGAAAGATTGAACTCTTATACTTCTTGTTGATTTTTGTATTAGTAAGTAGGTATATTACTTTTCAATACGTGACACGTAAAATTAACAATAATCAAAAACACATCTACGAAACATCCTATTTATTTATTTATTCTTTATTGCACCAAATATTTGTACAAAAGGCGAGCTATCTATTTATTTACCTATAGTGAATAGGTATCTTTTAAACTCACAATTTTCAATGCTTCATTTTTAATACATAATTAATTATAAAATTTCATAATTAGATAATATATGAAAATACATAATTCTAATATAATGCAACTAATATACCGAATAAAAAAATTAAAATACATTTATCGTTGTACGCTGTGTGTATTTCCATAAATTAGGTCATTGATGTTGAAAAAATAATACTACGTTCGTACCTACAATAGGTGGTGGCGTCGTACATATTTCAAATAAGCAATATATTGGAGCGAGCGGCGTGCCGCCGGCAAAATGCTCAAGGTCGTTCGCATGGAGTAGCCCCTTAAGTCATTCTACGAGTGAAGCCATTCTACGAGTGAAGTCATTCTACGAGTGCTAAGATAGTGTCGTGGTTCTATCCGTTTTGCTGGTCCTTCTGGTGCAGGCAAGGTGGATTGTGCTGCTGAGAGGCTGCCCTGTGTTACGTTGAGATATGTGGTGGTGCTGTTGGTTTGCACACTTTGGTGTTATTATGTAATTATGTCCTTCACGTTACACCAGTGTGTAATTCTGACGGGGACCAATTACGGTATGGTCGACCTATAATTGCTCTATACTAAATGTAAAGTTCGTTACGTTGTTATTGATAATGATTAATTGCGTAAACTAGAAGGCAAGATGAACATCCGCTCACACATTCTACTATTTTTAAGAATTTGGTAACCATCCTAATATATTTCCGAAATCAAAAGTAGAATATTCTGATGTATTTTCGAAATACCTATACATATCTAAGAAAAATATGAGGTTTATTTTGTACCAAATCGCAAAAAATTTTTAAAATATTTTCATTGGAAACATTGTAACTATATTATAATAATTAATTCCATACTCTGCTCGAAATAACTGTTATAATCTCGTCAGAATTGGAGTAGTTTCTGGCGGGAAAAAAATGTGCAGCAGTCCAAAATTATAGATATTTTTTAAATTGCCAAACGCTCTTTCTATATAATCGACAATCAGTAATAAATTTTAGTGTACTATTGATTTTATTGTAAAATCATAAGAAAGTAAATAAACGGAATATATGGGTAGTAAATATTTTTCGTGATTTTAAGTTGTCACGAATTAATTAATGCATATGTTTTTAACTATAAAAGAATCTGAAAACTGAAAATATAAGGTGCATCTGAAGAAAAAATGGAAATTAATATAAACAGATTAAATATAATTTCTTATGCATTATGCCGTCAAAGGTGAAGCAGCATTACAAATTTTTGAAACAACAAATCCGTTAATCAACTTAGAAATATCTTTTATTACAATACACACTTCTTTTTTCTTAAACACTTTTTTTATTAATAACAGTCTTTTAATACAAATTTTAAGTATAGCGTACACTCTTAAAAGGATGTACTAAGCTTTAGTAGAGCTCACTACGATACTTCACAAACACTTCACTTTAATTGCTATAACATTTTTTTATATATCATTTTTAACGCGGACTAAGAAATGAAATTTGTTTTAAAATAAGAGAATAAAATAGCAGAAAATAAAAGATTATTTAAGGATTAATTTTAATAAAAATTACGAAATGAAAAAATACAATAACGTTTTATTTGAAAATAACATTTTATAGTGCACCGAGTGCAATATTTGACAATTATTTCAATATAGCTGTTCTCCGCGCGTGTAATTTAGGGTTTTAACTATATTGCTCAGAACCCTAATTCTTTTTTCTCAAATATAAATAGCCTAAGTATAAACTCCTTAGAATATCAAATATAAACTCCTTAAAACATCAGCTATCTGCGAGTGAAAGTCCCTTCGAAATCGGTCCAGCCGTTGCGGAGATTAGCCGGAACAAACAGACAGACAGACAGACCGACAGACAGACAGACAGACAAAAATTTCAAAAATTGTGTTTTTGTTATAAGTACCGTATATACATTCATATGCTAAATGCATAATGTAAAAAGCTGTTATTTTAAAATTACAAACAGACACTTCAATTTTATTTATTTGTATAGATATAGATGTAACCAAACCGAACAAAATAACACATTCAGTTACTACTTTTGACTTTTCATAAATTTGTGCAGCAAACGATGCGAATAGTTGAAAAAACAAAATTGTACATGATATTGTCAAAAAAAACTTAATTTGCTTAATTTAATTAAAGGTAATTTAATTAACTACTAACTACTAACACTAACTACTTATTAGTTAGTGTCTGATCATTTTGAATACGAAAATAATATATATTCCAATTATTGGATATTAATAATGGGATTATTTTATGCCTGTTTTCTCTCAATTATTTTTATCATTGATGTTTTATGTATCATTACATTTTATGTACCAAAACTGTATGAGTTTAAGTTGCTGAATAAATACATGTTTATGTCCTATGTCTATGTCTAATTTATAGCCAACTTTAGAAAAAACTGAGGGGTTTACAGTTTGACTGCATGTTTTTTTTGGTTTATATATTACGTGATATCTTCGCCAATTGTAAACCACTCTTAAAGATTCTTTTCTTATTAAATAAGTTATACTACATGTTGGTCTCATAAAAATAGCAAATTAGGGATTGAAGTTTATTATATTGCCTACTGTTGTCTAAAAGAAACTACCTAAGTTCTAGAAAATTCCATTTTATTGACTTTTCTGTTTCTACACACGATTTTTCACTTTATATTGCTGTACTACGCCGCATTCTGTTAGCATTTGCTTTTATACTTTGTTAACTTATTGTAACCGGACGAAAATCACATTTATTTCAAAATCCATTCGAAATCCTTTAGATTAATTCGCTAAAGGATCTAAAAGTACTTAAAGTAACTATTTAGACGATACAAAAGATAATGATTTTCTTTAGATCACTCAAAAGGGTAAAAAAGTAACTTTGTAATAAAAATTGTAGGCCCACTTCAAAGAAAATAATAATTTCACATTTTGAAGTCGACCCTTCAATTCTTCCATACAATATGTCTTAGCAATAATCTTTAATTGTATTATAGCAATGTATATACAATTATTTAAAATAAATAATTGACTGTATATAGAATTCTCTTTAAAAATAATTGTATATACAGTGCTACATAAAATTGGTGCTAAGAAATATGATTTGTATATACGGTGTGTGTATTTAAATGGTCTACAAAATCTGGTGAAATCTTGCTGCAGCAATAATATATTGTTGGCGATGTTTTTAAGCGTGATTGCCGATCATGAGGTGCCGGATTAAAATCGCGGGTTCAAATCCGGGTTGGAGTATAATCGCTTATTAGGTTTTTCAGTCAAGACACCAGGCTATGAGGGAGGGGGAATAGTGTCATGTGCAGATGGCTAGTGTTATGTCATAGTCATCTATTTACTTTATATTATAAATCATATTGTTCACTTCCTTAGAAGCCACACTAATTCGATTGTAATATTATATGCTAATGTTTATAGTTTACCATAAGTTAAGCATAACACCAAGAACAATGTTGTTCCCTTATGTTTACCCCCACCTCCTAGCTTCCTACACTATTTAAACCAAATCTTTCGATCCCTCAATATAATTCCACTAGCTGTGCCTCGCGGTTTCACCCGCGTCATCACGT